TCCGGGCTGGATTCGAACCTGCCACCTTAGGTGTATGTGGCTGGCGCCTTAGCCACTTGAGCCACAGGCACTGAGCCGGTCTCCAACTCTTGAGCTCAGGCAATCCACCTGCCTTGGGCCTCCCAGAGTGCTAGGATCACAGGCGTGAGCCACCATGCCTAGCCCTCATAAAAGGATTTTGTGTTTAGACTTGGGTTTCCTCCTAAGACATCTCATCATGTATATGCAAAGAATTCAAAATCTAAAAAAAATCTGACATCGGAAACATTTCCAGTCCCAAAAGGGATACTCAGCCTGTATGCCCAAAGCATCACAGAGGAGGTCTGTGAGTTAAAGAGATGCTCCTGCCACAAGCCCCACATAATTGTCTCTTTCCTCCTGTCCTCAAATTCTCCGCTGATACAGCCCCTCACCCGGGACCTGGAGTTGCCTTCCCAGCATGGTTGTCCTACCTTGGCTCTCAGATGTGCTTTTTGCCCACACCACTGGCCCGTGTCTGCCTCCCCTGACAAGTGCCTATCTCTTGGGTGCCGTGGGGGACTGCAGGCCTTAGACAGGGCCCACTGAGCTCCTGGGTGTCCTCAGAGCTGCCAGTTCAGTGCCAGCCAGGTGTGCGTTCAACCTTGGCTTGTCTGCTGCGTGACAACCCCTGCACCCCCATATTCCTCTCCCACTCCAGCTCCTAGGGTGTTCACTTGTACCTCTCCCCTGAAAAGTTCTTTGCTCCTGTAAGCTCTTTCTCCCCCACATTACTTGTAACTCTGCTGTATTTTTCTTCTTTAAAGGTATTTTTGTCAATGATGCCAACCAAAGGGATAAAGTCCATAATTTTACCTCAGGTAGCAATTATTTCTGTTTCACGATTACTGAATTCTCTTCTGCTTGAAACCAAAATGTGGTCCATCTGCCTCTGCTTCTGTAGGTTTCCTTATACACGTACATCACTGCATTCACCTTTATCAATGGAAATGCAAGTTACGTGAGTATTATGAGTATACAGTGTTGTATTATTTTTTTGGGGGGTGGGTTATGTGTGATTTTTTTTTTTTTTTAATCCTTTCTGGGCAAATCTGTGGTATTTTCTAAATTTTTATTTTCCTGTTTTGGTAGAGTCATCATCAACCAGAAAGTTTATTACTAGGGGCAGGAGCAGCTGTTTCTTCAACCTTCTTTGGGGTAGGTATTTTCATTTTTACTTTTTTTTTTTTAAGATCAGAGTCTTACTCTGTTGCCCTCAGTAGAGCGCTGTTGTGCCATAGCTCATAGCAACCTCAAATTCCTGGGTTCAAGCAATCCTCTTACCTCAGTGTCCCGAGGACTACAGGTGCCTGCCACAATGCCCAGCTAGTTTTCCTATTTATAATAGAGATGGAGTCCCACTCTTGCCCATGCTGGTCTTGAACTCCTGAGCTCAGGCAGTGCACCCACCACAGCCTCCCAGAGTGCTAAGATTACAGGCATGAGCTACCACTCCCCGCCTGGACAAGTTTACATAACCTCTCTAAGCCCCTTTTTACTCCCTGGATGAACAGGGAAAGTGCCTCAATGTTGCAAGAATTAAAACACAAAAATAGGTGGAGGGCACTGGCAACAGTCCAACCGGTGCTAGAAACTGGGTCGATGTGAGCTCTCTGGTGTTAAGTATGTTCAGCTTATTTTTGGTCCTATGTAATAATAATTTTTCTCTCTTATTTTCTAGTTAATCCCTCATTTCATCCAACGGTTCCTGGGTAACCCTTTGATCAAAAGAGCTTTACCTGTCGTCTTTCTTGGTGAGCAGGGAGCATGTGGTCTGGGCTTGTCTTTGTGGTCTGTGAGCCTTTCTCTGTCTCCAGAGACACCTAAGTCTATTGGTGACATTGTCATGGATGACAGCTACCATTTGTAGCCTGCTAGCCCTGCCAATCCCAAATTAGATTTTTGTAAATATGTTATTAATTACCAATGTATGAATACAAGCCTGGAAGCACAACTTACATTTTAAAGACCCTCCATACAAACCCTCTACATGCATGATTTCACTTAAACCTGACAACAGCTCACGGGTAAGAAATGTTATTATTGCCACATACAGATAAGAACGAGGGCTTAGCGCCTATAGCTCAACCGGCTAAGGCGCCAGCCACGTACACCTAAGGTGGCGGGTTCGAATCCCCAGCCCGGACCCGCCAAAACAACAATGATGGCTGCAACCAAAAAATAGCCGGGCGTTGTGGCGGGCGCCTGTGGTCCCAGCTACTCGGGAGGCGGAGGCAAGAGACTCACCTGAGCCCAAGAGTTGGAGGTTGCTGTGAGCTGTAATGCCACGGCACTCTACCCTGGGGGACAGCTTGAGGCTCTGTCTCAAAAAAAAAAAAAAAAAAAGAACGAGGTGGGGGGATGTTAAGTCACTTGCCCAGAGTTGCATAGCAAGCAGGGATCCCAGCCTGGTAGTCAAATGCCAGACAGAATAACAAAGATATTAGCTAAATATTTTGTGTTTGCCAACCTGCAAGCTCACTACGCATGCTCCAGATTTGGGTTTAGGAATCACAGCAGTTTGAATAGGTTGGCAGGCTGACTTCAGTAGTGAAATTGGGGAATTATATTACAGAAACCTGGTCCAACCAGCTTAAGCAAAGATGAGAGCTGTATGTCAAGGATCCTGGAGTTTCTTCTGGAATTCTGTCAGGGAGTCAGGCTGGGCCTCCAAGGCGCTGGAAGTTTGACCTAAGACTGAGTGGCCAGCAGTTCTGAGGGTTGGCCCAGCCTGTGGCAGGTGACCACCCAAGAGGCAGGAAAAGGGCAGCCATGAGAGAAAGAGTCTGAAAGTGGACAGAAACCCAGAAAGATGTTCCTCAGCTGGAGCAGGCCTCATGCTTCTGTTTTGTACTTCTCTTTACATCTACAGCCAATGTTAGCGCCGGGAATGTCTTGGCGACCCGAAGTTTTGAACCTGTTCGAGGGATTCAGGTCATGGACAAAGAAGGCAATGTTATAGGCTATTCCAGAATAGCTGGGAAAAAGGTAAGGGACATGATGGAGCCATAGCTACTTCTCCTTTGGGCAGAGAATTGATTTTTCTGTTTTAGAGCTGGCAACAAATGACGTCTACCTTCAGTCTGTCCTTACCCCTTCCTTCCTCAGTATGCTCAGAGGGAGGCTTTGCATTTTGTCCCCCCATGTGTAAAAGATGGGGCATTAGTCTGGGTTCTCCAAAAACACAGAACTAATAGGATATCTGTATATATCTGTTAAAGGATTTATTTTGAGTCATTGACTTGCACAATTGTGTGGCTGGTGAGTTGGCAATCTGCAGGGTGGGCTAGCAGGCTGGACACTCAGGCAGGAGCTAATACTACAGCCTTGAAGCAGAATTTGTGGCCTCACATTTTTTTCTTGAGGCACTTCCACATCTTGGAGGGTAATCTCCTTTACATACATAGTCAGCTGATTGTTGATGTTGACCACCTAGACCACATCTATAGATTACCCCACAGCAATACCTTGATTAATACTTGATTAAATATCTGGGTGCTGTCGCTAAGATGAGCCATGAGGCTGATCATGATAAAGGCCATCTAGAAGGTTCTGGGCTCCTCTCAGTCTGAGATCTTGTTCCTCAAGGTCCATATTCGCCCTCCCAGTGTGTGCTGGGATCCTCCCAGTGTGTGCTGGGATCCTCCCGGGACCTGCTCCCCTCCCAGCTTGCTCTGCACTCACAGAGACCAGTAGATGCCCCTCTCTCGGAGTAAGAGAAGCCCTCCCTTTGCCTCCTCAGCAGATTTTCTTAGGGTCATCACCATTAAGGACCAAGGAGATGGACTTAGGAAATCCAATGCTGTGATCCAAAACTCTTAATAAAGCCTCAGTCTGAATCATTTTTACTTCTAAATAGTTTATGTTTTTCCTTGATTCAGCACAGTAGCTTCTGTGTACATTCAACTAAGAAACTGCCATAGTCTCTAATAGTTTCATTTTGTTTGTGGACTTTTAAATAATATGTTTTTAGCAGGTGAGGTCTTTTCTGGTCTTTGTGAAATGATTATAGCTGGAGAATTACTATGTGAGGCAGTTGTTTACAGATGCCATAAAGAGCAGCAAGGAACAGCCCCGGACCCCAAGGGGAGGGACTGCCTGGGCGTCTCCTAGGGTCAGCACACAGGGAGATTGCTTAGCCAGCCAGACGTCCTCCAAGTGACTAGCATGTTTGTGGAAGATGATGAGGTCTAAAAAGTGGTTGTTCATTCCATCAGTAAATACATCATTATTTGGCTCCCCAAACATCGTACTCTAAATCCTAGAGTATGATGAATGAAGCTGAATTAAAAACCATCAGATACAGGTGAATTTCTGCTAGCCCATCTGGTAGCATGGCCCCTTTTTGAAATGAATTACAGTAGGGACATAATAATCATAAGTAGCAAGAAGTAGAAATTGCCACCAGAAAGAAAATAGATCTTGAATTTGAAGCGAAGGTTCTAGGCCTAAGAAACTACCCTAGTCCATTTGATACAGTTGTTCGGTAGGCAGGGTGCAGTGGTTCATGCCTGTAATCCCAGCCCTCTGGAAGGCTGAGGTGGGTGATCACCTAAGCTCAGGAGTTCAAGACCAACCTGAGCAAGAGTGAGACCCCCCCCATCTCTAAAAATAGCTGGGCGTTGTGGTGGGCGCCTGTAGTCCCAGCTACTTGAGAGGCTGAGGCAAGAGAATTGCTTGAGCCCAAGAGTCTGAGATTGCTGTGAGCTATGAAGCCATAGCACTCTACCAGGGATGACAAAGTGAGACTTGGTCTGAAAAAAAAAAACCAAAAAATAGTTGTGCAAGTGTCACAGCTGTCCAGTTGCAGAACATTTATTTGCCTGTCTTGTACCACATGTCAGCATTGTGTTCCCTTTTATTACCAAGTCATATTTATTTCATTGTAAGAATATGCCATTCTGCTTATCCCTTCCCTGGGTGACTTACCTGTGGGTTGTGTCCAGTCTTTGGCTTTTTTTTTTTTTTTTTT